CCAGCGCCCAGAAAGCGCTGGAGCTTGGCAGCGGACGGCGCTTCGACGTGGAGTCCCGGGCGACGTTGGGAGGTGTCGGCCTCGACGATGCCTTCGTGGATTGTAAGATACCCGACCTTTCCGTTCTCGTCGTGGTAGCGGCAGCGCTCGAGCAGCGGCAAGTAGCGCTGACACGCGGGCGGCAACGTAGCCCGTGCTTGGCCAATGATGAAGGGCATCATGTTGACCTGGAAGGGCTTGGGCTGCGTCTCGCCATCGACAATGTGCGTAAGCGGCGGTGGAAAGTCGACAAATCGGGGCGTGTGCGGGATCGGCGTGTCGTGCGGCGTGTCAAAGGGCAGAAAGACATTGCCAAGTGGGACGTAGCCGCGCTGGTCGGTCTTGAGTTGCGCCCGCCAGATCGCCCGGAGATGATCGACGATGGCCTTAAGAACATCGGTTTGGCCTCGCAGCCCACGCAGCGAGCTTCCGTCGTCCAGCGTCCCGAGCAGGAGAAGGCGGACGACCGAGTTGTGCCACAATGGCGCCGGCGTCATTTCGACAATTCAGAAATGAGTTCGATGCGGGCAGATCGCAACCCCGTGCGCTGTGATTGGTGGAAAATAAGCCAATCGGACGCTCACTGAGTGGATTTTCTTCTGGCTTTTCTGCTCTATTCGGGTAAGACCTGGCACAGAAGCCAATGAAACACCTCGTGCGATCCAACGACACGGGCAATGAGGACGATTTGCGGTCCAACCCTTGAACGACCCTGTTGAGGACGACATGGTGCTTTTTCTATCGTGCAGCAACAGGCTTATGACGCTAGGAACGCGCCTCGACATCGCGATGGTCTCTTCTGTCCGGTGCGTTGGCATGTACAGTTTGTGCTCCTTATTGTTGTCAGCTTTTATACAAATTGGTGGCAACGAACGCACTCAACCAAGCGTTTTACACTAATGACATCAATGGCGAAGCGGAATCGCGTGGGCGAATCGACCTGGCGCGTCGGGCGACGCGACGTACAGGAAGCGCCACTTCTTGATGTCAAAGACGTAGAAGCCGTGGGCGTGCCAATGGAGCGAGACGAGGCCGGCCATGAGGCCAGACGCCTTGTCCATGTAGTCGAGGCCGTTGAGCTTGTGCGTTCGGAGCATGTACTTGCCGGCCGACGAGAGGAAGAGCGACGTCGGCGTACTCGACGTCTGTCGTGTCGAGACAAACGAGAGGCCAACACAACTACAACACACAGCGAGCGTGTACCACAGCCGGCGCACGGACCCCAGTTGCACGTAGCCACTCGAACACGTGAGCACTTGGTCCATATCGAGGGCGACGCACGACCGCTCCAAGCGTGCATCGTACGTGGCGGGCGAGACGCTGATCCACACAAACATAACGAGCCACGCGAGCAGCGCACTCCGCGTGGCGTAGACCGGCGTCGTAGCTTTCGTGTAAACGCTCAACGTGTCGTTGAGGACGTACACGAGCCAGTTGACTTCGCCAGAGACGAGGAGACGCGTGTACCATGGCACCACGGGCGTAGTAAACGCCGAGACGGCGCCAACTTGGGTGAGCGAAATGGCGCTCGTATGCAGACAGACCATCGCGGTCACGCTTCGGAGGAGCAGGCACGGCCGGCCGATCCAGACAAGACCGATCGTGCGGTTCATCTGGAAGAGGTTGCGTCCTTCGATGTGCAGGAGGCTGCTCATCATGTAGAGAGCAATCGTCATGGCAAGCAGCACGAACACCACCGTCATGTACTGCACCGAGGTGAGCAGCACAATGGCCAAGTCGTGCCGGATCTCGGCTGGATTCGGGCGCATACTGTGCGTCAGAAGCGGCCCCGAGATGGCCGTGAGCGCACCGGAGTCACCAGCGAAACGCACGACTTCGCGCGTGCCGGCCGCCCACCCATAGAGAAACACCCAGCCGTAGAACGGCCACGACGCATCTTGCGCCTGGTCGTCGTCGAAGATGTTGGCATGGAAGAGCGACGGTACTGAGGCATTCAAAATGAACTGCACAAACTGAACGTCGAGCTGCCGCACGCTGGCTTCAAGACCCGGCGCGAGCTCGTTGGGCGCCGCAAAGGACGCATTGTACAGTGTCAGAAACAACTGCATCGCACGGTAGACGTCGCTGCACGAATAGGCCGCTGTAAAGTCGTAGGCGCAGAGACTCGAAAGAGTCTTGGTCGAGATCGCCCGCGATGCGCTGTACCCGGCGAGCGCAAACAGCAGCTGAAATTTGTCTGGGGACGTAAATTCAAACACGAGGGTATGGCACGCGGTCGATGGTGTGAACGCGCGGTAGAGAGGTGACGCGACGATGATCGACACGTGCAGCGGTGACGCGGCGAGGTCATCGCCGCAGAGAAGATTTCCACCCACAAAGGCAATGTCGGTATAATTCAACGCCTTTGGGAAAGGCCCGACGTACTGCTTGAGCGGAAGGGATAGAAACGCCGCTTGCGCGTCACGGTCCGTCACCAACAGTCGGTTCAGACTCGAGAGCATGCGGTGGTACCACGATAGCAGCGACGCCGGACACGGCACGTAGACCATGTCCACGCTGCCAAACGGCCCGATCGTCGATGCCAGCAGCGTCAGTCCGGCCGGAAGTGGACTCGGGAGCGTGAGGTTCTGTGTCAGTAGCATCGCGCTCGTCACGTTGGCAAAGGCAAAGCGCGCGCTCGCACGCAGCAGACTACGCCCACCGACAAACGTCGTGTTGGTCGCAATGGCCCAGAGGTCGGACGCAAACGACCAGTACATCTT